AAGGAGCCGGCTGTGGTGCTGAGTGCGTAACAGTTTGTGTGGGGAGTTTGTAAAAAGGGAAATTCCATGAGCCCCACACCGCCCATTGATTCAGTAAATTTGGGTGGTTTCAGGAATGTCTATTTTTGAGAAGCTTCCCCATAGATTCTGATATATAAAGGTTTTGAGAACCATGGCTTAGACTATAATCTACTGCCCAAATTCTTAGTTTTTAAAGAAGTCCCCTAAGGTCTTATTTTCATGGGAATATTGTATATCACACAGGATTCTTGCATTCAGGAAATATCTGAAATACCAGACAAGCATTCTTACCCCAAAGTCACAAGAAGGAGAGCAATTACGGAAGATATTACGTAACCCATATGCCATTTTTAAGAGCATGACTGTATGTAGGTTCAGAGAAATCCAGCACTTTCACATGCAGAAGTGCTCTGCTCACAAGCAAGCGTGGGCACTTGACTTCTTTTCCTCGGGTCGGTCATGTGGAATGGGCTCATGTTTCCATGGTCACCTTCCTGGCATTTCTAAGATTCTGCCATAAACATGACTTTAGAAGCAACTGGGAATTCCTTTTCTTACCTGCCTAACCCAGTGGACTTCTCTCCACTTGGCCTGCAAGTCAGTTTGGTAAATCAGGGCTGAAATTCTTTCCACTGTTAGGAAGACATTTGGTGGGAGGCGTTATTAATTTTGCCCACCTGTTTTCAAAATGTGCTGGACATTAGAATAACCAAGAAAGCTTTTCAAAACCGAATGTCCTGTATGCACCTCAGGCATCCCATCAGAAGCTCAGGGTGGCGGGCTGGTTCTCCGATATCGGTAAGTCCTCAGGGATTCTAGGTGCAGCGCGGTTACGAACTGCTCATTTGGTCTAAATGCCATCTGGGATAGGAATAGAAGTATAGTAGGAACGTTCACTGGTATGTGGGAGAAAAGTATTTCTTTTCCTTGTCCCCTACCCCATTCATGATGCCATGACGACTTTCTGTGTCCGCTTGTCTGTCTGCGGTTTGTTTTGTTTTTTTCTTTTTTTTCACAGCCTTCAAATATTAACCTTTCAGGTGGCCCGGTATTGTAGCTTTGTTACATTCAGAACGAGAAACTCCTGTTATAAATAACCCAACCACTTTCCCTCAGAGTCAGACTGCGTGGCCCCCAGAATTTTTTTTCAATGGCGACTGGTGGTCTTTGTCCCACACTCCCTAAATCAGAATCTCTGAGGGTGGTTCCATAAATCCGGATTTTTACCAAGGTCCCCAGTGATCCTTATGCACTCTGATGTCTGGGTATTTGGGCCCTAACTCACTAGTCTAGTTACGAGTACAGTCATGCTTAGTGCCCAAAATATGAAGGATAAAGACCTAAGAATGAGCTTGACAGGAATATGATATATTCCACCTGACAAAGAGGGACATTCTGGGGATAAAGAGGGAGATCAAGGGCTGATTATGAAGTTACCAACTACTTTGACTCTAGCTGAGAAATATAAATGAAAATCCTTGAGACTACTTGCAGGGCTATCCTTTTTTTCTTTTTTACTGAATTTATCGGGGAGCTGTTGGTTAATTGTACCAGTTTCAGGGGTACAATTCTAATAATATATCAGTTCTATACTATATTGTACTGTGTGTTCACCACCCCAAGTCAAGTCTTCTTCCCTCACCATTTATTCCCTGCACACCCCCTTCCGCCTCCTCCTCCAAGGCTTCCTTAGTACACTGTGATAGGAGGAAAAAACTTCCCAATCCCAGTTCTCTGTGAGGTGCCACTCACCCGCGTTATTATATCAGTTACCTATTGCCACAATAATGCTGTGTAAAACATACAACCAACCATAAAACCTCAATGGTGCACCATAAATAGGGAGTTTTGCTCAGGTGCCTGTGGCTGTGCCGGGCGATTCTGCTGATCTGAGCTGGGCTTGGTGAGGCACGTCCTGTGCGTCAGCAGTCAGTTGCAGGTGATCTTGGGTGGTCTTGCTCACGTGTCTGAGACCTTGGCCAGGATACCTGGGGCAATTCAGCCGGCTCCGGTGGGGTCCTCCTGCAGCAGGCTGTCCTCGGCACGGCAGGATTCTGAGAGTGTGGAAGCAGGCAAGGTCCCTTAGAGCCCAGGTCTGCAGCTTGAGCAATGCCCATGCCACTTCTGCCGCCCGACCCACGGGATGAACCCATAGTCAAGGAAGTGAAGAAACACGCTCACCTCCTGATGAGGGAAGGTGTTGCGTTCCAGTCCAAAGGGTGTGAATGTAGGAACATTCGTTGATTCCACTTATGTGAACCATCTACCACACCCATTACCTAACTTTTATTCATTTAGGTAAAGTGTAGTTAGAAAGCACAAAGTTCTGAAGGCTCTCCTGTTGGTCCTGGCCAGCAGGAGGTCTTTGCCTGGATGTGGGAAGGCCAGGCCTTGGGTGTCAACAGTCTGCCTTGAGTATCTTACACTTTACCACAGATGGCCTGGTGTACATCATCAAGGGGATGGGTCCAAGTATTCAGGAAATTATTTCAGGTATGCATACAACTTCCCAAAGGAGGCATCACAGTTACCTTGCAGCTTCTCTCCTGCCCTTAAATTCCAGTCAGATTCTGCTTATCATAGGAGCAGGGGCAGCTATCTCCATGGTAAAAAAAAAAACAAACACAAAACCACCCCACACACAAAAACACACACAAAGAAAGTGACTTTCTTCTGCTTTTCCAAATGAATGAAGTATTTTGGCTTCACCTTTCCGACCCTGCAGTCTGACCTGAGGACACCCCACAAATCCACCTCTAGTGGAATTCCTGCACACACGTGCACTGACTACTATAGGGGTTTCTGCTCCGTTTTTGCTCCCTAAAGGTCTTGCTCCAAATCTTAGTTATTCTGCAGATGCCTGTTTATTACCTGTTTTACAAACTGTCACCTATTACAGCAAACACAGTGCACTACAAACACAAGGGCATACAGGAAAAAGACTGTGTGTAGAAGTCAGACAAATCTGAGAACAATTCCACCACCCACTTATTTGATCTTAGACAAGTTGCTCGATTTTGCTAAGCCTATATTTTTAAATGTTTAAAATGGGGATGATACCCACTTACAGGATGATTATAATAAAAATACTACATTTAAAGTTCCTAATATTTAGAAGGCTCTTGAGAAATGGCGGCTTTTATGACCCCCATTTTACAAGCTATTACCTTACTCTCTTCCACATTGGCAGCTGCCCCCATCTCACCCTCAGCTTCCCACACGTCCCCCTTTTGAAGGACCAGTACTATGTCTTTTCTTTACTGTTACCTGCATTTAACAGATGAAAAAAACAAAGGAACCACATTAAGTCTTGTTCAAGGTCGGGTAGTTGGCAATGGTGGTGCTCAGATCTGAATTTATTCTGGGATCTGTGTCCTGACTCCCTACACTGTACTGCCTTTTCTTGACCTGGGCTCCCAGGAAAGCAAAGCAGAAGACCAAGGCTGATTTGAGACCTACAGGGCAGAGGTGGAGGGGGAGGGGACTGAAATAGTAGAGTAGGGAAGGCTGACAGAGTTGGACTGCCACTCAGGCCCACCAGGCCCAGGGAGTCTCCAAATTGTGGCCTGGGGAAATGACAGAGGAAAGCACTCATCCACTGCCTCCAGTGAGTCACTGCTCCTGGGTCGACCATTAACTCCTCTTCTGCTCGTGCGTGCTCAGCTCGAGGGCAGGTCCCTCTGGCACCCTGCTGGGAGCACTCAGTGCAACCTCAGCACAGGGAACCAGACCAGGGCAGCCCTGGGCCGCAGGAGGTACTTCCCCACTGGGCCTGTAAAGACCTGGCCGCAGTCTGCATGGACCTAGTGGCCACAGTAGCAAGGCGGGACTTGGAGGGGCCACGGTGACTGTGAAATGGTCACTCGTGCACTGATGCCTCTGCAAATAAAGGAAATAGTGAATGGGTGGTGAAGAGTAATGCAACCGATAGAGTTCACCTGAGTTTCATCTGGCTGCAAAGATGAAGGATTTGTTTTCATTTATTTTGGGAGCAGGCCAGTGCAGGAGGGAATATTAAGAATTCTTGCCTCAAATTCCTTTTAAAGAATTCTGTGGTGAAGTTTGGGCTCACCTGTGTTTTGAAACATGTGAAGCGGATGAGATCATGGGAGCAGAGACATTTTCTGAGGCTGACTTTTCTTCTCGCCACACTTAGAAAGTTCTGTGCATTAGAAACTCTGACTTTGAATTGGTAACTCCTGCCATGTAGGAGAATGGTCCTAAAAATAAAATGCAACAGTTTCAAGCTTGCCTGAGTCTTCTTTAGCATCAGGCTTGTTGGGAGAAATGGTTAGCCTTTAAATGGACAGGTACCAATTTTATATACCGGTCCGTGCACGTCCCCTCCCTGCCCCCCGGGACCATTCAGGACTGGGAGGTGAAAAATCTATTTCTTAAAAAAAAATCGTAAAAGTTACAAGTTAGCCAGAGAGGAAGGTTATCTAACATCTGGTTCACAGTAAAATGTCATGTTGATAGCCTGGTTATTTTGATCATTTAGCAAAAAACTTAGGCTGAATTAAGGTAGAGAAATTCTATAAAAGATGTGGTATCAGAAAGAGCAGAATAGAAATCCTCATTGCCAACTCTAGGTGCCAACTCTCGGGCAAGCAAAGCTCTCCTAAGACTCAACTTCCTCATTTATAAAATGGTATCACTTCTTCACTATTTTGGTAACAAGAGAAAAAGTGAAATAAATATTCCTCTTGCTGAGACCATAACTGATCATTTAAAGGGTAACAATAATGATACATTTGCCCAATTTATACTATTGCAATATTCTACTAATATGATATTGAGTGACTATAAGAAATGTCATGAGAAAACTGTGTGTGAGGGAGGAATTCAGGGGGAGAAAATGACTCTTACAATTCTGATATCTTTTAGAATGCATATCTCAATAATGACACAGAGACAAACCCAGGCAAAAATGCTACTCCAATGTAAATATCAGTACGTACATATATAAAAGCAAATAATTGGGGTTCAGTTTTGCCAATTTTATTGAACCAATAAAATTCCTACTAATAACAATGAAATAAATTTCTGCAAGTATAAATGTGATACAGTTTAACAAAACCCATTGTTCTGTACCTATAAATAGATTTTCAAAATGTCATAAAAAGTGCAGTTATGAATTGTTAACATGTTAATACACAGTTCCTTTATTTCAAATGTGTTTGTCTTGACTCGCTAACATTTCCTTCTGCATCTGTTCAAATAATATTACCCATCCCTCCAAAAAAAAAAGGCATTAAAGCACTAGAATACACATAAACTGATCCATTCAGGTCAGCTTTAGTCAGAGTTGTAAAATCAGCAACATAAGAAAAATAAAACCTAGTCATACATACAAAAAGCTTCCATGGGTTCTATAATCTCCTTAACTGCTGACTCATGTGGAGGGCATAACAGTTGAAAAGGCGTATATGGTTAACTACCTTAGACTACATCTACAGCAGGGTCTGGTATGCCAGAACAAGTTTAAAGTGGCTGTTTATCAAGTCTGCTATTTTCAGAATTGAAACTATAAATATAAGACTGCCATTTGACAATGAAAATTGTGTAAATCCTAAATTGCATCAATGATCTATCTGATAAAAGCTTATTCTAATTGAAAACCTTATATAGTAAGAGACATATACATATATATATATAGCAGTCTTAAAGATCATCCGCCTCACATTAGTCCAAAGTCACGTGCTTCGTAAAAAAAAATTACAGTAACAAAGCACAGGACTACAAAGGCAAAACATCACAGCTTCTGATTACACTGAATAAAAAGTACCAAGGAACACAAAAGATAATTCTGTATTAATACTGATGAATTAAAGAACTATAATAGACATTTCACAGCATGCTACATATATCGCTCACAACTTAAGGATAAAATGAAGTCTAAAATTGAAAGTCAAAAAGTTGGCAATCTGATTTCATGTGCAATTCAGCTACAAAGCCTTAATATGTACATTCATCATGTAGCTGCCCTGCAAAATCAGGATTTAAAAACAAGATTTCAAGTTCAAATCCTATTTTATAAGCTAAAGGATACATCCAGTTCTTCCATGACCAGAAAAGTTATTTTCAGGTTTGAAGGAGCTAATCCAAGCAGCAAGGCCACGTTCCAAGTCGACTGGACAGGGTTCCTTTTCACCTTGCTCAGACTGTGCATGTGGATGTCACTGTTCTACGTATGAGCACAAAGATGCCAAACTGGCTTGTGGTTTGCTTTCTGTGTCTATCTTATCTCAGGTTGAAAGAGTAAATGTAAAGAGAAAGAGGAAGGGAAAATTTTGTTTTCTTTCCAGACAAGATATATGAATGCAAAGGAAATATCTGCATTAGATAATACAGTTTGGATAACTTTCCTTGATGAACAAGGGTATCATTTAACTCTTTGCTTCTATTTTAGAGAACCAGTAAAATTCAGAAAAAAACACCCTCAACATTACAAAGGAAACTACTTGGCTACTCAACTGATATGTTTCCTTTATCCTACCTTTTGATCCTTCCTTATCAGATTTGGAAGTCAGGTAAAAATTTGTGAAAACATTAGGAAAAAGACGTATGGCCCATCTCATTTGTAAATATTATAACCCATACACTTAGTTAACCAGGATTCATACATTCCCTTTTAAGAGGTTAAATTGAGGGGTGGAAGATCATTTTTGCAAATTTATATACCAAAAATTATATTTATCACATTTAGGCTTACTAATGTTTGATATTCTTCTGTGAACTGCAAATTGGGTTGTTTTTTTGTTGTTCTAAAGGCTATTTTACAGTACGCATTTCATGATTTCAAAAATTTCCACAAGCACTGCAAAGAATCAAATATCATTCCTTTCCCTACCCCGTTGCAATTCTCTCCTTTTTCAATTCTGTACTTCATGGTGGTATAACCATGATTAATTTAAAGCTACAACAAATGCTTCATTACATATGACTTAATAAAAGCCATTCCTTCAGTCTCTATCACTGTCTCACTTCTTAATTAGGCATTGACTCATGCCTGCGTCCTGAAAGGCATCACTAGACTCTGCTATCAGGCTGGGTTGCTCATGAATGGGAGTGAAAAGCATCCAGATACCACCACTGATCACAGTAATTGATACTTGCTAACAGGGTGGTTCATTCCTCTTCAGGTCAGACAACCATCTGTAGATAAACACACCCCATATTAGAAACCTGACAAGTCTTCCTCTGTGAACTACACCGAGTAAGCACACACTGGCTGGAGAGGAAGAACTCCTGCTTCTTCCTCCTCTGTGCGTTTCCTGCTCCTCAATGATACTGTCTGGATATTCCTAAGTGTAGCCAGGGAATAAAGGTGACGAAGTCAATGCACTCCCTTTCTTTCCCATGGGACATCCCCCCAGCCCCCATGAAAACAGGGTAGTCTAACCCAGGAAAGCCTGATCAAATCCTTATGTAGCTAATTTTGTGGCTTTTTAAACATATAATCATATGGGCTTCTGTGATGTAATAGGACCACCTGAATACCCTTTATCATATTTCCTTCTACTAAAAGTGTGTTTCAAGGCTCAAATACCACCAAATAAAGCAAATGCCCAAAACACCACCCATTTGTATGCCAGAACTTTCCTGTTCCAATACAGGTTACAGATCAATCTGGACTGATGGGGAATTTTAACGTTACATTCAAAGAACTTGGACTAATACCAGTATTTATTACCTAATACAGATCCAGGTTAGAATGGCAATTCGATCACTTTAAAATCCTGTTAAATGCTAAATTCTGCATGGTAGAAATAGTTTAATTTCTGTATCTGTATAAATATAAAGATTCCTACTCTGTTAGAAGGCAAAAATTTTCTGTGATTTATTTAAAATATGGAAGTAGTATTACTGAACAACAGAGAGTAAATCCATGAAAACACTGGATACTCTGAATTTATAGGCTCTTTGGGGATGAGGTAGAGGAGAGCAAGATATTTTGGCAGCTGGGAAAGGGTAGAACAGTCTGGGATGGACGGGATTACACTGGTGCTGCAGAATATCCGGCGGGGTCTCTGGAACAGAGGTGAGCCAAAATATCACAGGATGGTAGCAGGACTCAGAGGGAGTTAGGACAAAGTCATTATTCTTAATGAATGGAGAAAAAGTGACTCAGAAAAGTAAATGCTGGTGACTATCAGCAGGTGGCTGGTGATGTTTGGTTTGGAGTGTGAAAAGGCATTCAGACCAAGATGGACTGAGGAAAGGGGAGCAGAGGGAGCGTGTAGAGGTTGAGGCACTTGGAGGAAGAGAAAGCAGGTGGGGAGGGTGGGCTGCGTACAGGGAGGAGCTCCTAGGGTGGGAAATGTTCCTTTATAATAAGTGTATGATGCTGAGGACAGCCATGCTCTCGGAATTAGTTTCATGTGTTCTTTGAAAACCTTTTCCTTCCTCACCAGGCTCTGCTTTGACATATATATACCTCTATCTCTATGATCCTTTTCACCCCTGCTATTTTTGTTCTAGGTCTCACCTGAGCAGATACTGCTAAGTTATATTAGCATGCAAATAAGCTCCACATAAAGGGGACATTTAAGTTCTGTTGACTGAGATGAATACATTCATGTTACAGTACTGCTTTGAGGAAAGACTACTTATTTTGATTCTCAGTCTCCAGAAGGAGATTATAGGGAAACACAGTTTATGCTGATGGCCACCTAGAAGAGGTTCTGATTATACGAATTAGCTAACTTAAAACTTGTTCTAAATGGTGTAGTCACGTGTCTTTCAGTTTGCTGTTGGATTATACTACTAAAAAAATTTCATATGCTATCTATGTAACATTAGTGTTGCATAAGTTTACTCCATGCAGCAAGACCATCTATTTGCATAAAAAGTCCTATTAGAGAAAGAGCTTAAGGTCTTTCTTTCCAGAGGAATGATTTAGAATTGTCTTTAAACACAACATAAACCAAAAACCTCACGTTACTAGTACAGTGCAAATCGTTTTTATAACATGCACTGAAACTTATTTTTTCCCTGATGACTTGTCCTTAGAGTTTAAGAAAATGCTGCCATCAATACCCATGCAGTCTGCACTACAGTGGTGAACTATTTGTAAGTACAGAAATTGGTTTGCTGATAATTTTATTTTGCTACAGCATGAAAAAAAAACACCTTGATTTTGGATTAAAAATAACTCTGTAAGGCAGGAAGGAAAAATTGCTCTGGAATAATGTTAATTAGCTTTTAGAAACATTGAAAAAAGTTAGGAGACTATACATAACACAACTAAGATAGGGATTCTGGTTCAAACAGGAGATTGATAAAAAGCTTACGCCGAGTCTCTGTTCTAAAACAGCCTGTGAAACCTGGCCATTATTGGGGTTTAAAGCCATAATAAAGGCCATCTTTTTTTCTAAAAAGTACCCCAAATGGAACAAAGATTCTTCCTGAGACTGAGACAATATACTTAGTTCAAAAAGGTGAGTAAGGTAATGAGCAGTCCCGTCTCAAAAGCCTTTTTTCCTCTAAATGTCACGAGTTCACCTGAGGAGGCGGAATCTGACAGTCCAAGGAGGCTGCCAGGCCAACTCCTAGATTCGAGGGATCAGGTCAAAGAACAGATTTACTTTCAGATGGGACAGTATTTAGGTATTTCTTAAGGTGATCTGAAAAATTAAGAATTACAACTAGAGCTGGAAAACCTGAAATTTGAAAGTAAATAGACATCGATCAAGCATATGTATCAGTGGATGACTAGACTAATTTTAACATAATGAGCAACGGAGTTAAGAGAATTCACATTCACATGTGCTTTTTTCACGTACACTTGCACATTTAAGTTTGGCACAATGCAGGCCCAAGGTATAGGCCAGCATCTCGTATAATCACATCGTTTCACCAATTGAACCAGATAGCTCTTTTAAAAATATCACATTTTAATACAAAAAGCTATGCTATAAATTACTATAGTAAATTCAATACTCTGAAAAAATACCACCCTGGAAAACCGCATCAGAATTTCAAGTCTGCATTAGATCAAGTTCACAGCAAACTCGTTGTAACGTGGCATCCACAACCTGGAATGCTGTGCCTGCTGCATCCGAGTAGGTGCTCAGGCCCCCCCAGAAGTCAATTTTTCTAGGCTGGTTCACTGAGGTTCATAAGTAAATTGTTTTGTTTTTGTTTATAGTTCCAAGTCAACTGATTTTCTTGATTATTGATGAGACAGAGCAATGCTGAGTTGAAAAGAAACTGTGCTAGGAGAAAGATCTAGTAAAGGCACTAATATTTCCATAACTCAGATTCCAACTACTTACATTTCTGGGGCAAAACAAGAAAAAACCCAAAAACTAAGTGGCCATTTTAGTTACTTAAACCTTGTTTCCCCTTTTGGTCTAAAATTCATGTGGGTGTTCTCTGAGGACTTCTCCTCCTTCTCAATATACAAAAGTCATTTTCATCCTGTAACACAGGTCACCTGCACAAAAATAGAGGGCTGTTAACTGAAGGAATTCTATTAAAAAATAAATGCCAAGAATAAAAGATATCCTCAACTGGAAAGCTCTAAAGTTAGGGACGTTAAATGGACATTTATGTTGTCATCTGGATTTTGCCATTCTCCTACATATTTTCTTTACAAAACATATCTATGTAATGTGATATTGAATAAAACTGACATATGGTACATCAATAAACAGAAGAAACCTGGCCTGGGTTCTTTGACTAATCTCTTTAAATAAACCACCCTGTCTTTAAAAAATTAGTAAATTTTTCCTCCCATGGAAGTTTTCAAAGAAGATCCTAGAATTTAAAAATGCAGAACTTCCTTATGTTAATAGGCTTACAGTCATCTCTCTATTTTCTTATCTGGAACAAGATAAAAAAGAAAGCAACCTACTTATTGTACCAGAAAAGAAAGATAAGTGGAAGGGGGGAAATTACTTAACAAAACACTAGTCAACTATTCTTTCACAAGAGAGGAAAAAAAGTAAGTCCTACATTACAAGTAAGTAAATCTAAAATCTTTGTGGGAACGCTAACAAAAAAAATCTAACTATATTATTTGTTATGGAAAAAAAATGGATCTGTTTTTAAAAAATCAGCATGTTGGTATACAATTTAAGTCACTGTTAATTAACCGAAGTGTTTAAGCTGTGCAGTCGTGTCCTATTGGATAGTTGTAAGCATCTCTTTAGGCACTTCACTGGTTCGTTAACAGAAAACAAATTAAAGCTATAAACACATAATGTTGTGCTCTGTGAAGATAGTCTAATCAAGCAACATAAACCAATGCAAAAATGTGACTTTTTGGATGTTTATATTCTTCCCCTATCACTTGACAATCTTTTTTAACCAGTCATCCAAAGAGATTTTTCTGGGGAAGAGGATGCTTTGGCATTATGAAAGGAACATTGTTTAACCCCAGTAAGGCAAAAGCCTTGTGCAATAAAGAAATCTGAACCAAATTTCTTTATGGCTCTGTTTTAAAGGACACTTCTGCAGTGACTAATAGGGGGAAAGTTTAGTGGAGTATATATATATTTTTAACATATTGCACTCTTTTTGTTGTTGTTGTTCATTCACATTAATGCATAGACACACAATTTTTACCTTTGAATAATAAACTGTTTAACCTATCATAAGAAAAATCATGGAAAATAAGTCCTAAAAGCCTAACAGGAAAAAATATAGGCATATTAACCTTCTTTTGCTTACTGCAATATAGAAAACACTATGAGAAAAGAAAAATGTGCAAAGAAAATTTTTGGTCAGCCTTGTGTGGGTGGGTGCAAGTTTGTATGTGCCAACTAAATGAACTGTAAGCAGCACTGTGAGCACTGATCATTTAAGATGACTGAGGATTACTGTCAGTGATAGAAAGGATTGTGCATAATTCCACTTTTAATATATACATCTGATGTGGAAAACTGAAACTTCTGTTTCAGAATAGAAAGAAAATAACTGAATTTGGCATTTCAGTAGCATGCTATAGAATTCATCATGATTAATTTCACATTAAATTATGGACAATGGCTGTATCACATTTCACGTTATCGCCAATAGCAGTAAAAAAAAACAAAAACAAACGAACAACAACAAAAAAACCCAAACAGTGCCTGACAAATAATCTCCTGGGGACACAGGTATGTGTCCCATGAGCAGCTTAGTTCAACAGCGCGTGCTTTTCCTCTACCAGATTTAGGACACAACACGAAAAGTTGAGAATGGCCAGAGGAGGTTATTCTTTGCTGAATTCCAATGTCTGAATCAACAATCGCTTGAGCAGATTTTTAAGCGCTTTTCCTTATTTAACCAAAAAAAGGGGGGAGGGAAATACACATACACGCAAACCCCGAAGCGCTGAAGTTAAGCATTAACAAACCAGGTTCATGATTTATGATCAGTTTCCAAAAATCCAACTATAAACAATGCAAAGTAGTGCTCCTCAGTATTATTTTTGCAATTGTTAGTAATGTTAAGCATCAAGAAAAAGAAAACACATCATTGCACATTACAGCCGCCCCCAAAAAACGGCTAAACTTTGACACAGAGAAGTGAATAATTTTTGATGCTACATCACAAACAGCTTCTGATGTATATCCCACGTGAAAAGGTCTTTACACTCATACGACATTTTCCCTGGATGCTGCTTCAAGTCAAATGCCGCGTGATGGCACGAAGAGCATACAGAAGTTCAGCTTGCATCCGTGCTTCCATTAAAAGTAAGTTGACGTGAACCTAGAAATGAAAATGCGATCAATTTAATGACCGTTATAAACAACTGAAAAATTTTAAATGTTATTCATATAGCAGACCTTCACAAAAGTTTTTCTTGTGTACGTAGACACATGCACAAACACACCCTCCCTGGGCAGAGTCATGCGTGTACATGATGTAACATGCAGAGAAAAACTGCTTATAAAAAAACAGCTCTCATAAGCCGTAAAGATAACCCGTCAAACACAGGCGGCGAACACGAGGCCCACGGGCAGATCCGACCTCCACCTTGTTTTATCCCGCCCAGCACCTTGTTTCTACCTGGCGGCCGTGCTGAGCTCCTTGCCCCAAGTTAAGGAGCAGTTACATTTGTACAGTCCTAAAATTACATACAGCCCTTTGAAGGCAACCATGAGACTGATGTGGCCCCTGGTGAAAATGAGTTTGACACCTCTGCCCTAAACTCTTAACAATTCCAGTAAGTTTTTAAGCATATATGTTATGTAAAGCCAATCAATCTTTTGGATTTATAAAATGAAACAAATTTTTATACATTACAACTTTTCTAAAAACTATATTAATATTTCCTCTTCCAGTTGTAAAATGTTATAAGGCTAAAAATCCACCCTGCATTTTTTATGGTCTATTCTTATTCCTTGCAAAACTTTGAAAGGCATTTTTTACTATTTAACTGGAAGGATACTAAAGTGAACATCTGAAGCTTTCAGTGATTTGCAATTAGTGTCTGGTATTCATTAGACAGGTGTAACTTCCCTAGAGTCTTTTAAAAGTAACTGAAAAAGCCCTTAGCTTTTTTGGGGATACTATTTCTAAGTTGATAGATTAACTCATATTATTTTCAAAATGTATTACATAAAATGTGATATTAGACTTCAATCATTTTGGTTACTTTCCATAGGTTGGTATATTGTTAGATATGAATCTCTTGATGAATGAAGAGAATTTCTAGATAAAAATAGTGAAGAAAGAAAATCTACTGCAAACATATAAAGAGTCCATGAAGATCCATTAAAGGGAGAGCTGGGGTAACATGGATATTTACTGACTGTGTGACTGGCTCTGAGACTTTCCCAAAAACCCTGCCAGGCATGAGGCTATAATATTTTCTGTCAAGGTCATATATAACTATATAGCTATAGTTATATAGTGAGTATTAGGACCCTAAAAAGTTTTTTACTCTCAAGCTTGAAAACAGTGGAATAAATGGAAGATTCTTGGACTTAGAGGTCAACAGACTCAGGTTTAAGGCCAGTTTTTGTAATGTTAGTAATGATCCTTAATATTTATTAATTTTCAAATAATGATTCCCCTATAGCCAAAGAAATACTTTTATATCATATATTTGACTCAAAGGTCCTGCATTATATTGTCAAAATATTAAATTACTAAATTAGAATGAGGAAATACTGTTCTATCAAGTTACTGGAAAGGTTACAGTTAAAAAAGTCTCTAAATGTATAGGCCTTCTAGACCAAGACACAATTACACTTAACATCTCAGTAGGTCTGATTTTTAATAGTTAGAACGACAGATGGTTTTTCAAATGTACTTTAAAAATATCAACATTCAGATTTAAATGTTCTTTTTTTAAGTTTTTTTTTCCCCCATTACCATTTAATATCCTGACACCTGCTTCCTCCCAGCAATCACCACACTGCTGTCCATGCCCATGAGTCCTTTAAAGGCCAAAGTTTAGTGAAGGCTAAACTTTATACACCACATTAGACAAAATACACCCTCCAAATTTAGTTAATATTCAATAAACCTAAATTTAAACACATTTTTAAAAAGATGGCAGGATGATGCTACTTCCATTTCTTTTAATGGCACCAATTTCTTAATATCTTCATGCACAGTTTTTCATAATCATTACTTTTTTAAAAAGATTTTATTCACTTATTTTTAGAGGGGAAGGAGAGAGGGAGAGAAACATCAACGTGTGGTTGCCTCTCATGTGTCCCTTGCTGGGAACTGGCCTGCAACCCAGGCATGTGCCCTGACTGGGAATGGAACTGCAACCGTCTGGTTCGCAGGCCCACACTCAATCCAATGAGCTCCACCAGCCAGGGCTATAATCATTCTTTTTATATTGAATAATCTACCATGGTATACTTGTTCAGTCATGCAACACACCTTTTCTGAGTGTTTGAACTGACGCCAATAACTGTCATACATGCGCTTGGTAGTTCTCTCAGGATAGCAGGCCACTGTCTTAATGTAAACCTTCAGGCTTCGTTCAAGTAACTGATTAACTTCTCCATAGTCATAGTCATCATACCTGTGAGCAATAGAACAACAGCTTGGTGATGACAAAACCAAAATTTCTGACTTCTAAAGTTATACCAGAGATGTTCACTGTCTAGGCATTTAACACCAAAAACTCATTAATTAATGCATCTAAAATATTTATTTAATGTCTATTATGTGCCATGTATTCTTTTAAGTACTGGTAGTAGACAAATGAACAGAACAGACAAAAATCCCTAGTCTTAAGGAATTTAAATTCTACTGGAGAAAAAAAGAAAAATTAAAAAGATAAAAGAATAGTATGTCAGATGGTGATAACTGCTATGGAGATGAAATGAAACTGATGGCTAGGAGGGGAGCTGTGATTTTTAAATAGTGCAGGCAGGAAGGCTTCTCTGAGAGGCTGACATCTGGGAAATACCCGGAGGAGCAAATATAAAGCCCTAAGTAGGAATCAAGTGTTTCAAGAACGGAGTAATGAACTGTGTCCAGTGTTGCTGACTCAGATAAGGTAACTGGAAACTGACCACCAAAATTAGCTACACAGAGGCCACTGGCAACCTAAATGAGACCAGTTTTGTTAGTGAAGAAGGAGTAAAAGCCTGATCTGGAAGTAGGTTCAAGAGAGAATGAGAGATGAGAAAATGGTGACAGTAAACATATAAAGTGTTTTCAAGAGATTGGCTGTGCACTGGGGCAGAGACATGTGAGGCAAAAGCCCGAGAAACAAGCAGAATGAAGAAAAAAATTTTTAAGATGAGAGAAATAACATCAAGTTTATATACTAATGAGAAAGATCCAATAAAGAGATTTGTAAAGGTGATCACACAGAAAAGGGAGATTGCTAGAACAAGGATCTTTGAAGGTGAGAGAAGATGGGGCTTTGTGCCCAAGTGCACAGGAGCACTGACAGTTCATCCATAACACACAAGAGGGGCCAGAAAGTGGGTCCAGAGGCGGACAGGAGGGTAAATGCAGTGGGGGGGGTGGTTGTGAAGTTTCTGCATTTTCCATTAGTTTTTAACCCAATATAACACAGTTAAAACACAGTATCTCAAGGATTTTATATAAACTATATTTGGTACCATCCCATAGGTAAATATAATCAGCATAGCATTTGTTATTTATTATCATGAATATAATAAACATTTATCACAATTGAATTAAATTCTATTGGTGTTTATTCTTTTTAATTAAGTAGGTATAATATCTGTGTCTTAAAATGTGATGATTCTGTGACAATTTATTGACTAGGATGGTAAATGGGTAAATAGCAGTTATTATTTACTATCATAATAGCGTTTTTTAGGTAGAATGTCGATATTTTAGGAAGTTTGTTTTTTCTTAGTTAAGATTACAAAACTACATTGCTTAACAATTAAATTCTAATTCCACTTCACATAGGCTTTCTGTTACTTTATCACAAAGGATATAGTACAGCGTCGAAGTGAATGCATTCATAGCTAGAAACTTTCTGCAAATGTATTTCCATAAAAGACTTCAAAAACCAGATTATGGAGGCATATTCTCTCCCCAACAACAACAAAAAAGCATTCCTGATTATAGACCATTCAATCTCATTTATTCACTACCTTCTCAATACTAATTTTTACTTTTATAATTTATTTTTATTATATTTTTCCCATTACCATTTGTCCTTTTTACCCTCGTCCATCTCTATCCACTCAATGCTAAATTTTAAAATGTAGAGGCCATTAACTTACACTGACTGATAGTTTTGTTTCAGGATTATGTGAACTTACGTAAGCTTTATGAGGGCAGAATCTATCCTAGTTCTATTCTGATTTTACACTATGTCCAATGATTCCTGATTTTTTCCACTCACTAGTAAATTGTTATGACTGTATTTACATATGCATGTTAAGATTACAATAGTTAATCACAGACAAATGCTTTCATGTAAAATGAAATTAATTTTTTAAAAATCAGAAGCCTACATGTAATATTTTCTCACCAGAACTGTGTACTCCTACAGAATATAAGACTCACATCAGAATTTTCCTTTAGAAATGTATAAAACTGTCTCCATAATGAACATACCTGATTCCGAACATACAGTGAACATAGTTAAATAAAGCTCTATGCAGCGTGGTTGTGTCAGCGTCCTCGTGGGTGGCCATAGTGTTATAGGTGAGACTGTAGACCATGCGAAACTTTTCATCAAGAAGATGTCCAATGTCGGAATAAAGTCTGTTCACCAGGGAGAACCCATGATTTTCCCAGGTATAGTCCTAAGAGAATAAAATGTATACAATCATAAAATGGACATTCTTCATTTATTATTTTTAATGTTTTATTGATTATGCCATTACAGTTGTCCCGTTTGACATTCTCCATTTAAATAAACTCTAGGTTTTTATTAACTATAACTACTTAAGCAAATAAGTGAAGCTATTTCAAATTTACTTCTAAGTTTGTAGCTTTACTAAGAAGACTTCACATCACTTTGTAGGTTGGAGTGCCATGTTGTTTTCCCAGTGGGGTCCAGGGTTTGTCATGTCAGTAACAAACTGGCTGCTTCCTGTGGTCCAGTACAATACCATGCAAACTACACCCTCATCTGGAAGGACCCCAGGATATCTTGGACTATTCCTATGTGACCCAACCTGTTCAGTAACATGGACGGTTAGATCATCTAGAAGAGGTGCAAAGGAGTTTGTATTAATTCAAGTTTATACTCTCTGTACGGGCCACATCATTATTGTGACTATATTTTTCTAAGAATAAGGAAGGAATAACTCTTAAGCCACTAGCTAGTGGTTTATGATCTTATTATAAAATGTCTTTTAATAATAAATGTGATACATCCTTTGATTTCTTCCCTGCTATGCTCCTCCCCACAAAATGGTATGAATATTATCCAACTACAATGTAATAAAGCAAGTAACTGAATAGAGCAGTTTCCTTTTGCCTTTAAAATGGAGGAAACATTAAAATAATACTACATCTATTGGGACGTCGAATTGTATATACTAGGCTAAAAGCTAGATTCAATAAAAAGATTCACAGACTCTATCAAAATTATCTACTAATTTCTTTAGAAGCCAATTTATTTACATTTCAACATTTTCACAATTTAAATAATAGTATTTATTCTCTAGTTTCTCTGAAATAAAGACATTTCATACCTGAGCTCGGAATGTTGGCAAATGCTCTTCTCCTCGTCTGGCAAAGTCCTCATATCCAAAACTAGGGTCTTCAATATATCGGGAGACATCAGCTGTTATAATCATGTCATCCTCAAAATCTAAGAACAATAACAAACAATCTAGTATTAAGAAAACTGTACAAAGTTAGAATAAAACACCTCCATTTTCCTACACTTTTTAGCTTTTCTGTGGATTTCCAAAGTAACAATATGGATTGATTACCTGGCTTCAATTCATATAAAACATCTACTGCTAAAATTTTAAATAAAATATCATTGCCAAATACTGGTCATCTTAACATTTAACTATGGTTACTCAGTCAAAAAAGTGACTAAATTGCAATAACCCAATAATAGTAGCTCATTGAGAAAAGGAAGATGGCACAGGCCTGCGAGTAGAACGCTTGAACTTTGATCTCTGGGGATGAAGTCAGATGCAGAGAAAGGGAAGAGATGCAGGTAAAGATCACTTTGACTGAGTTGAATGTTAAGACAGGTTTGGTTAAACTCAGACAGTGTTTCATCTGCATATATTCACAGGGAAAATAAGTTCATTTTTAGTTTAGTAAGAAGCATACAGGGAGAGACACTGGAAAAGGAACACAGAAAGGATGAGGTGGACTTTTGGGAGCCACTATTTGCTGCTAGTTAAATGAGGAAGGTCTGTTTGTAAAATTTATTGAGTTTTACACCTAGGATATGTGCCTTTTCTGTGTACATGAAAATAAAAGATATACAACATGGAATAAACAAATGCTAATGAGATTATGAATGAAATACTTATCAAAGTGGCATTAAGGAAGACAGGAAGACTACAATAATAGCTTAACACTAACTTCTTCATACTTGATAATATTATAAGTTTACCACTGAGAAATTGTAAAAACCCAATGCATGTTAATTCTTTCTATTTTTTAAAAAATATGTAACCTAACTTCTAGTGAGCAGGCTGATTTATATACAGGAACTTCCAATTCAGATATACATGATAAATTGATATTTGAATTCTCTCTCGAGGACACGCTTCCATTGATTTTGAGAGAGAGAGAGAGAAATGCTGTTACAAGGGAGAAACATTAATTGGTAGCCTCCCTCTTGCACCCCAACTGGGAATCAAACTTGCAACCTTTTCATGCATGAAATGATGCTCCAAACAGCTAAGCCACATAGCCAGGGTGATAAGCTGATTTTTTAACCTTATCATACAAAATTATTTTTTTTATTTTGAATCATTTTTAATTTTTCAATTATAATTGACATAATTATATTAATTTCAGGCATAAACCCCAGTGATTAGACATTACATAACTTAGCAAGTGATCATTCCAACAAATCTTGTACCCAGCCTGGCCCCATACATAGTTACTAGAATATTACTGCCTATATTCCCTATGCTGTACTTTACATCCCCATGACTATTCTGTAACAACCAATTTGTGCTTCCTAATCCCTGTACCCTTTTCACCCTACCCTACTTCTCATCTGACAACTGTCAAAGTGTTCTCTGTATCTATAAGTCTGTTTTGTTCAGCTAGTTCATTTATTGTTTTTAGATTCAATTGTTGATAGTAGGTATTTATTGCCATTTTTATTGTTCATATTTTTAATCTTTCATTTCTTCTTCTTCTTAAAGACCCTTTAAGATTTCATGTAATACTGGTTTGGCGGTGATGAACTCCTTTACCTTCTTGTCTGGCAAGTTATCTGCCCTTCAAATATAAATGATCATTTTGCTGGGTAGAGTAATCTTGGTTGCAGGTCCTTGCTTTTGGTTGTGTGAGGAGGCACAGTGTTTCCACCTAGGCCTCCATCTTGGCCAGAAGTTCAGTCCTTGCTTTTCATCACTTTGAATATTTCTTGCCAATCCCTCCTGGCCTGCCAAGTTTCTGTTGAGAAATCAACTGATGGTCTTATGGAAGCCCCCTGGTAGGTAACTGTTCTCTCTTGCTGCTTCTAAGATTCTCTGTTTAACTTTAACCTTTGGTATATTAAATATTATGTGTCTTGGTGTAGGCATCTTTGGGTTCATTGTATTTGGGATTTTCTGCACTTCTTGGACTTATATGTCTGTTTCCTTCACTAAGTTAGGGAAGGTTTCTGTCATTATTTTTTCAAATAGGTTTCCGATTTCTTGCTCTCTTCTTCAGGCACCCCCATGATGTGAATGAATACTGGTATGCCTGAAGTTGTCCCAGAGGTTCCTCACACCATCCCCATTTTTTAATTCATCTTTTTCTTTTGCTGTTCTGATTGGTTGTTTTTTGTTTCCTTATATTCCAAATCACTAATTTGATTCTCGGCTTCATCTACTATACTGCTGATTCCCTGTAAATTATTCTTCATTTCTGACTGGTCCTTCTTTATGCTGTTGAGGTTCTCACTAAGTACATTAAGCATCCTAATTACCAGTGTTTTTGAAATCTGCATCTAGTAGATCACTTGTCTCCATTTCGTTTATTTTTTTTCTGGAATTTTATTCTGTTCTTCCATCTGGGAAGAACATACATTTGTCTCCTCATTTGGCAGCTTCACTGTGTTTACTTCTATGTATTGATATTAGAGCTACTACGTCTCCCAGAATTGGTAGAGTGGCTTAATATATTAAGTGTTCTGTAGGGTCCAGTAGCACAGCCTTCCTGATCACCAAAGCTTGGCACTCAAGGTGCATCTCTTATGTGGGGTGTGTACACCCTCTCTTGTAGTTGAGCCTTGACTGATATTGGCACATCAGTAGGAGGGATTTACCCCCAGGTTGATCAGCTGCAAGGACTGGATGCAACCACTTACCACTGACATCTGACTACAGTACAGAATCAGCTGTGTAGGGGCTCACTCTACAGAGCATGACTTATATCAGCAGGGCTCTGGTGCTTGCTGAGTCTACCTCTTGAGTGTGTCACTTGTGAAGGTTATTAAGTGATGATGCTTCTATGAGGTCTGAAGCTGTCTACTGGTTCTGAGCCCTCCTGGGAAGTACAGACCAAGGTCAGCTGCTGCCTGTGTTCTGCCTGGGGCCACTCTGCATAATCTACAAAGCAATCTGCAGATGGCTGCTACCTGTGCTGGGCTTGGAGGTGTCCAGGCAAGGCCAAGCAGTGAACCAAGGCCAGCTGCTGCTAGTATCGGGCCTAGGGCCACTTAGCAAGAGTTATGGGACTAACTGAGCCAGATGCTGCTTGTTTGAGAGATTTTAGGAAAACCCAAAATGTGAGCTAAGACAGGCCATTCATATAGAAAAGTCATGTCTACGGCTATACCACCCTGAACACGCCCAATCTCGTCTGATCTTGTAAGCTAAGCAGGGTCGGACCTGGTTAGTACTTGGATGGGAGAAAAGTCATTTAAAACATGGGTAGGCTAAAAGTTTGTTAGGGTGTAGTCCCAGAGAATCATCAGGGCAAAAAAATGTGAGCCAGGGTGATGCAGACTAAGTTATGTCACCCGCCTGCTGGCTCTGTCAGGGGAGGGCTTAGAAGAGAAACAATGGCCTCTGTGAGCACTTCTATATGGAAGATAGCTGCACCCCCCAGCTCTTGCCCTGATGCCAGACCATTCAGTTCCTCCCCATATGTCCCTGGTGCCTTTCAAGCTACTGCTCCTGTGATAGAGCTCAGAGCAATTGATTCTGAGTAAGCCCATGGCCCTTTAAGAGGAACTGCCTGGGCCTAGAGATGTCCTTCCTCTCCCCCATCCTCAATTCCTGCTGGTTTTTAAAGTCATAAGTTATGAGGGCTTCTCTTCCTGGCACTGCAACTCGACTGGGGGCCCTGGTATGGGTGGGCTGGGACCCTGCACTCCTCAGGGGACCTCAGGAGCCAAGATATTCCTCCTGATTTTTATCTGCCACACTTGGGTGTTGGACCAGACCATTTTGCATCTCCACCCCTCCTGCGAGGGTCTTGATGTGGTTTCTTCTTTAAATCCCTAGTTATATGACTTCCATTCAGCCAGATTTCAGGAGGTTCTGAATGATGGCTCTTCTGTAGTTTATTGTAGTTTTGATATGCCTGAGGGAGGAGATGAGTACAGCATTTACTTATGCCACCATCTTGATGGGAAGTCCCAATGCATGTTAATTTGATTTTAAGAAAATTCTCTTGACTCACTTTTTTAGATTAGTCTTCATAATTACTTTTTCCTGATTTATACCACTAAAAGGGAATGAACAGCCTTTTTTTACTATCTTCTCTGAAAAATAAACATTTTTCAAATTTAATGAAAAACTAGCTCCTTCCATACAAAGAACAATATTTGCTTAGTATTTTAATTAATATTAAATACATTCAATATTTAGTAAACAGTTAATAAAAATTATGGCATAACAAAAACTGTAACTCTTAATTAAACAGTGAAGGTACACTTAAAAAACAAATGCAATTATAATAATTCTTCTGAAAAACCTAGTAAACTAGTAATATCTTTACTATCTTTTATCTTTGCTATTTAATGAAAAGCCTCACAATAAGTATTCCTTTCTCACAAGTTTTAACTTTACCTTGGATCACTAGCATGGACTAAAAGGAGTGCTTAATAATGGCAAGAAAGATTAAAGAGTCTAGGCTACCCAACTTAGAAAATATTTTATTAAAATTCTTACTAACTTTATTACACACAAGGAAATTGGCATTTGCTGACTACTTACAATATATCAGGTATTTCCTATGTACTTATTATTTTTTCTTTGTTTCATGAACAGGAAAAGAAATATCTACTTAAGTAATAAGTCAACTAGCCCTGGCTGGTGTGGCTCAGTGGACTGAGCGCTGGCTTGTGAACTGGAGGGCTGACGGTTTGATTCCCCCTCAGGGCACATGTCTGGTTTGCGGTCCAGGTTCCCAGTTAGGGGTGTGAGAAGGGCAACCAGTGGAGGCATCTCTCCCACACTGATGTTTCTCTCCCTCTTATCTCCTTCCTGTCCCATCTCTCTAAAAATAAACAAACACAATGTTTAAAAAAAGCAAACTGTAAGTTACTAATACACTGACAATGTGGATTAGTTTAAGATAATGTGGAAAACTTGTAAACATTAAACTATAGAAATTGATCTCTAAAGAGAAATCTCAGGTTTTCCCTAACCTATCCCTCATCCACTGTTGTATCTGCGGTAAACAGAAACACTTTATAAATGGCATTTTCAATGCATTATCTCAATATTTACCAATGAGGTTGTCTTTGCTTAAATTCAGTTCACCATACAATAATCAATGGAAGTGAAGCAAAACAATGTAAAACTTAAATGCTGAGGCTGCTATAAAAGCTAGAAGTTTTGTGCAGTGAAAAGCAAAATTAAACCAAGGAGAGTGAGTAATAACTAAACTCTGTGTAACTATTTCTCTATTGAAGTGACAGAGAAACTATACAAACCCTGTAGCTTCATTTCCCAAATATCAATACTGGAGTTGACTATTACTTAGCTGGTTTCTTTGACTACGACCCCAAGAGTGGTTTGCAGAGCAACAGCATTAGAATCACTTGGAGCTGTCATAGAAAGGTGGCTGATCAGATAGATCCTTGCCCAGAATGACTGAATCAGAATCTGCATTTCAGCCAGACTCATCAGTGACTCACCTGCACAGTAAAGTTTGAGGGACACTGTGTTAGACAGTTCCAGACTAGATGTTTTATAGACATCTTAACTCCAAATGTCCAAAATATAGCAGCTTACATGCCCCTTTAGGTTAGAAAGATCAGACCAACATGGTAAGACCCCTGTCTATCTAACAACTACTTACACCTCATGATCTATGTCCTAACAATACAACCATTTTTTCTCCTGAAGCAAGCATCCTGTTTCCTTCCCATCGTACCTTGGCTCAGGCTTGGATGCTGTTTATACCAATTCTCCTGTCCCCCAGCCACTGCCTGACTCCCCTGCACTCACGATATTTAGATTTAGCTTAGAGCCTAATGGTTGGAGAAAGTTATCCTCTAGGAACTGCTTCTGTCCACACTCCTCCCCTACCAAGACTGAGCCGAGACTGGGTTTGGGATCCTCTTCTAGGTACAGACACCCTTCATCTTCTATTATTTATTGTAATGACTTATTTCTCTCCCTTTATCTATGATAGCTCTCAGAAAGCAGAAACCATGTCTTATTGAGGCTGAAAATCTACTTACCGCAGTGATAAGAATATATAGGGTTCTGAATCAAATGTTTGTAGAATAATTCTTAAATAAATAGCTAAAATACCACATTTCATTTTGGGGGAGATTTCCTACTTATGAGAAGCTCTGAGAAACTGTTACTTAATATACTCAATTTTGTTGATAAAATCTTTCATAAAAAAGATCATCACAAGAAATGATAAAAGGAATTCTTTTTCATGGTAAAGCTTCTGAGAGCTATTGGTTGATGTAATGTTTGAAGTTAAGAGACAAGTGATGGCTAAATCAATTACTCTCAGAATTTATGAAACTGATGAGTCTTAAGACCAGTTATTTTGAAGCCCCCTTTTAAGCCAAAATGGAACTCAGTTTTAAAAATAAATGTTATGGCCAGCATAGGTAAAGACAACTCACATCCTTGCACGACAACATCAAAATTATAACTAAACTACAGAACAATCACTCGGAACCATCAGATGAGCTGATGAGCAGATTGAGCTGAACGTTAAGTCCAACAACTACAGAATTAAAGAAGAAACCATATCAAAACTGGTAGGAGGGGTAGAGATGTGGAAAAGGCTGGTCCCACACTCACATGTGGCAAATAAAAATCTAGAAGGATATTAGGAGTGAGGAGTTCCAGCTCCATACCAGTCCCCCCAGCTCAGGGTTCCAGGAAGATAAGTCCCCATAACTTCCCAGTGCCAGGAAGATAAGTCCCTGTAACTTCTGCCTGTAAAAACCAGCAGGGATCGAGGCTGTAAAAGACAGAAACTGCTGAAATCCCACGCAGTTCCTCCTAAAGGGCCCACACACAGATTTACTGGCACTCACTCCCTCTGAGCTCAAGTGCTAGGGCAGCAGACTAAAGGAAATTAGAGACATATGGGGAGTTAACTGAATTGTCTGGCATCGGGGCAAGAGCTGGGGGATACCTTTATCCCAGACAGAAGAGCTGGAAAAGGCCATTGTTCCTTTTCTGAGCCCTCCCCCCACACAGCCAAAGTGCTGGCAGGCAGGTGCCATATCTGAGACTCCATCAATGGAGCCCACACTCTTTGCCACACCCTAGTGATTGCCTGAGGCTCTGCCCCACCCAACCATGAGGCTCACCTAAGCTGTTTCCGGTGGCTTTTCCATATGAATGGCTTGTCTTGGCCCAAGCTTCAGATTATCCTAATTCTTTCAAAAAAGCTTCGTGACCCCCAAACCTTTTGCTAAATTGCAACAGGCCTAATACTAGAGCAGACAGCCTTGGTCTACACCCTGGCCTCTGGTGGGCAACTCCAAGCACAGCACAAGTAAGAGCCATCTGCAGATCGCTCTGTAGCTAATGCTGTGTGACTTCAGACAGAACACAGGCAATGGCTGACCTTCAGCAATAAAAGGTCAACTATCAGAGGAGGGTGTACACAGCCCACACAGTGGATGCACACTGAGTACCCAGCTGGGGTAACAGAGAAGGCTGTGCCACTGGACCCTACAGGGCAGTAAGCTACTAGATTAAGCTACTCTGTCAATCCTGGGAAACATAGTAGCTCTATCTAATACAGAAAAACAAACACAGAGACTACCAAAATGAGAAGAGAAGAAAACACAGCCAAAACAGAACAAAACTCCAGTAAAAAAAAAGCCTAAATAAAATGGAGACTAGCAATCTATCAGATGCAGAGCTCAACACTGGTTATAAGGATGTTCAAGGAACTTAGGACCTCAATAGCTTAAAAAAAACATCCAGTCAAAAACAAAGGATACACTAATTGAAATAAAAAACAATTTATAGGAAATCAACAACAGAATGGATAAACCCAAGAATTTAATCAGCAATTTGATTTGGAACATAATAAAGCAAAACACAACCCATCAGAACAGCTTGGAGGAGGGGGGTTGGGAGATATTAGGGTATTAAGTGGTAATCAAAAAAATATAATAAAGATTAAAAAAAAGAACAGTAAGAAGAAAAATGAATCCAAAAAAAGGAGAATAGTATAACAAGCCTCTGGGGCAACTTCAAACATTCCAAAAATTCGAATCATAGGATTGTTGAAAGGAGAAGAGAAAGGGCAAGAAATTGAAAACCTACTTGAAAAAATGAAAGAAAACTTCTCTAACTTGGTGAAGGAAGTGATAATCAAGTCCGGAAATGTAGGGGACTGGTTTGTGTAAGTCTGGCAAATGTGACTCAGCTCTGTATGGAAAACCTACAGAAGCGAAGTGGTGGGCAAGAGCCAGATCTTCAAACCGAGTTTTCTCATGGGAATCAGGCCTAGAAAATGCATATAGATTGTTATGGCTTGCTCTTGCTAAAAACTCCATCACCCTGGTCTAAAACAAAAAATATGTATTGTCCATCTTCAAGGTAATTTCCAAAGCTTGTATAAGTTCTCCCAAGGACAGAGTTAATCAGCTCATCGCCATTCCCCTCTGCATGTTATTTTTATTTTCTTGATTGTACCTAAAATGTAGACAATAATATTCTATGTAATAGATAATAAATCTTTCTCTGATGTAAGACCCCAGGAAAACAATAAAAGGCTGTCTAGGCAAGGGTCAAGGCGCTCCCCTCTTGAGGGAGTGGCTGAGGCACCATAGGCACTCTCCCCTTGAGAGAGTAGTCGTGCCTGTTCCCTTTTTCTCCACAGGATTGTTGTTGCCTGTGCATTCATTCTTGTGGTAAGCCACAACAGGCGGACTCTGCTGGCCAGTGTCCGCCACATCTGGCACCCAGGAACAGCGATACAAAGGCCATCAGCCACACAGGAAGTACAGAAGAGTCCTGAACAAGATGAACCCAAAAAGGCCCACATCAAGACACATCAAAATTAAAATGCCAAACATTAAATACAAAGAACGAATCTTAAAAGCAGCAAGAGAAAAGCAGTTAGTTACCTACCAGGGGTCCCATAACTCTGTCAGTTGATTTCTCAACAGAAGCTTTGCAGGCCAGAAGGAGTTGGCAAGAAATATTCGAAGAGATGAAAAGCAAGAACCTACAACATTACTCTACTCAGCAAAACTATTATTTAGATTTGAAGGGCAGTTAAAAAGGTCCCCAGATAAGAAAACCTAAAGGAGTTTTTCACCACCAAACGAGTATTATATGAAATGTTAAAGGGTCTTCTTTAAGAAGAAAAGATTAAAAATATAAACAATAAAATGGCAAAATTAACTCTATCAACAACTGAACCTAAAAAACAAACAAGCAGAACTGAAACAGAATCATTAAATAAATAGATAGATAAATATTATGTAAAGACTTTGAAAGGTTTAAGTTTTTCTTGAGTTTGTGCTATTTTAATAACATTTATTATGTGGTGTTTGATAGTCATAATTGAAAAATTTCCCTCCTATTTTAAAATCTCTTAGGAGTATTAGATAAAAATGCATTTTTAAGACTATAGTAAGGAAGCCTAGCTTTAAATATGGAATAAATTCCTCCAAATTTGATCTAAGCAAATGACCCTAATAATATATTTTTATAAAATTCCAAAGATTTCTCCAAAGAATGCAAACGCTAGTACAATGTAATTTTAGAACTAATCTGGAAAAGTGGCAGTGTGAGAACAGTCCTCCTACATACTCTCCACCCACAAAAGAGGCAAAGATATTTAAAAAAATATATCTATTGAAACAGGATTTCACTTTTTAAAAATCACAAAGGTAGGATGAATTAAATATTTCTATCTAATTTTAAAGCAACCAGTCTGCTTTGGATAGCATTTTATCCGGGATATAGTATGGACTAGAAAGTTCCTCCCAACTGGATCTGAAATACATTCAAAGACGTACCAACACAGAATAGAAAGCAGTATCACGCATACCATCTAAAACATATAGAAGGTGAATGAAATAAAAGGAACATGGAGCAGAATCATTTTTACATATCCACATGGAAAATACTGAAGGTGGCCTGTCAGCATTCCAACAACAACTGAAAGTGGGGAAAACAGTGGCACCTGAATGAGGAAATGAATGGAAAGTATCTCCAGAGACAACGAAAAGACTTTCTTTCTTCTCCTTCTCAAAACGAGTGGTCATTTCTTCCTGAGATGTGTCTTCATCTTCCCTTTCTTCTTGAAGCCTTTTCATTCGTTCCATTAAGGCCTCTAGCTCACTTAGAGAATCTACAATCTGGGGTCAGATAAGATAATGTTGGTGTTATTAATAATAAAAATTATTCCTGTAAACATAAAAATTATTCCTGTAAACATCTCTGCCTCCCAATGTCACCTTATTATGTACAGTAGCATAAGCACTGTTATTAAGTTCCTAAGTGGGTTTTTGACTAACTCCAAAGAACACCTTATGACAGATTCAAACATGTCCAGAAGTATGATGTTTTTGCTTCAGTTATACATATACAAAGTTTGTAAGTATAAATATATTTAATCTAGAATTCTAGGATTTAGTATGTGTTAAATTATATTATAGTTTATTTTTTTTAAATGAAGCTTCAAATATTTTTTAAATTTTGCTGTCATAAGATACATTCTCTCTTGGTTGTTCCAGCATCTTACAGACTAAAGATATATTGAACTATTTTAGTCTATACTATTTTTAACAATATCTGCTGTAAAAGCCTCTTTAAGACTATTCAGAACTTCAGGTACAGGTTAAATTTTTATAGTAACAAAAATTATGCTAAAATTTTCAAGTATATATATATGCTGTTTAATTGGAGATTATCTTTAGATATTTTTAATGTTAGGAAGTTTAAAGGCAAAACAGTAAAGAGAGTTAAGAGAACTGACCCCAAAGTTGTTGCCTGTAAGAGATGCATTCTCTATGTTGTTGTCATTGGCAAGGTCACAAACGCAGAAATTGTTGACTGGTATTAGCCTGAATCCATTGGAGATTTCTGGATCTCTCTCTGGATTGATGCCACTACCAAAAACGAAGCTTGCCAAAGCATGAAAATGTGCCAGTAGGACCACAGCATGTACCAGTTCAGGCAGAGACCAATTATTTTCTCCAGTTTTGACAAGTTTCTGAAACAAGAAGGCAAATCAGAGTAAAAAAGAAAATCAAAAGAATGCTACAAAGAAATTTTAGAAAGCATAGAAAATGGACCAAATTTTCTTTGTGTTCATTTATAGTAATAAAACTTAAAACTTCCTTTTAAAAATGTTTCGGGAGACTTGACTTAGGATGGTACACATACAATACAGTGTACAGATGACATGTTGTACAGTTGTGCACCTGAAGCCTACAGTTATGTTGACTGGTGAAAAGCCAATAAATTCAATGAAAAGGAAAAACTAGTTCATATATTATTGAAACATATGAAAAATATTCCATATATTTCAATAATGTATGAAATATATTATTGAAATATAATATAGTATATGAAATATAACACATGAAAAATATTTCATATATTACTGAAATATATGGAATATTAAGCTACCTTAAAAATTCACATAAAAATCCAATTCATTAAGCCAATAGCATCCACTTTTTAAAATTTCATTGAATAATTTAATATTGCTTATTTGTGTGCTCATAAAGCATTCACTTTTACCATCTTTTCTGATAAAGACAGACTCTACAGGAGATGATAGAAAGTGTAGAACACTATCTCACGTGACTAAAAACTAAAATTTTCAAAGCACTTTTTATATGCTACTGGACTTGAAATGCACTTGCGATGGAATCACATTCACTTGTGAATTGCCATCAAAAACAGCAATTCTTTCATTTTCATTTTTCCCAACAGCCAACTCCATCTACGAATCCACCAGGGATTCTTTCCCAGCAGCGTTCGTTCTCTTCTCTCTCTGTCCATCCATCTCTTTCTTGGTGTGTGTGTCCTGCTACTCCCTGCAAATCTAAACTTTTCATTTGGCTCACTTGAAGCATAAAAACCAAGACCAAAAAAATGTTTTTATTTTACTCCCCGTCATTTAACTACATGCACACACACAAATTTATTACAAAAGTTCAGGGAAAAGGAAAAAATCATATTCTACCATCTTAATATAACTTTTATTCACCTTTTTTATTTTTATAAGCATAATTATGTAATTAGAGTATACATTTATTTTGTTTTTCAAACTTCATTTTTTGACATGTTCATTTCTCAAAGGTTACAGTTTGGTATTAATATTTAAGCATGGGCTAGACTGTCTGGAATGGGTGTACAGAATCACTTCTCCTTTCCTTTACTGTCAGACATACAAACTGCTTCTGAATTATTTTTGTTTACTTGCTACCATAAATAGCATAATCATGCTATAGCTTTGTCCATATTTTAGACATAATTCCTGAAAAGATTTTTAGGGCAAAAAGTATTAATATTTTTGTGACTTGATAATATTGCCAAAGAGCTTTCTGAAAAAATTCGTAGAATTTGCAATGCTTTTTCCAGTCTTTCTAGGATTACCATTAAATCTGAAAGCACAGCCAACATGCAACACTTCAAATATCTCACCTCATATTTATTTCTTTTACTTCTTATAATCTGGTTTCTTTCTAAAAAAAAAAACACACCCCCAAACAAATAAAAAAAACCCTGACACTACACCTGACTATTTCTTTTTAGTACTTATCCTATGTGATCTCTGCAGATTTTACATGTTCCTCACTTCCTTCTTAAAATCAATCTCCATGACTTCAGCAATTTCACTACTTTTTGAACCCTTTCCACCCTGAGGTGATTTTTCTTCTCTCCCTACTCCACAAGGTTGGCTTGCTCTTCTCTATCCATGATCTTTTCTTAACACGATTTCTCTCTGGGTGGATCATTCATTCCTTCCACCTGACCTTTGCTTATCCGTAAATAACTGTCCAATTTTACTTCTACTCTATCCTTCATTTTGAGCTACAGCCCTGTAGTTCTCCAGTAACTGGACATCATTGTACAGATGTCACAGTCTTCTGTTCTCAGGCCTGTGTATGATCTGCTCATGGCACTGCCTTCTGCCTAGACAGGAAGGTACGGAACTCTTAAAATAATTCTTCTGGCTACCCCTTTTCTCTATCCTCAAGTTCTGCCAGTCACCAAGTCCTGCTTATTCTTATGCAAAATGATTACATAAAGACTCTGATCCTTCCTCTTCATCTCTCCATGGTTTAAAAAAATCACCTCACAAGTGGATCACTGCAACTGTTTCATGACTGGCTTCCTTGCTTCTAGTCTGTATCATATGTAATTTATCTTCTGCATCAACAAATATGCTCATATTACAACTCAACTCAAAACCTGTAATGGCTCTTTTTTTTTTAAAAGATTTTATTTATTTATTTATTTATCTTTAGAAAGAGGGGAAGGGAAGGAGAAAGAGAGTTAGAGAAGCAACGTGTGGTTGCCCTCCCTTGTCCCCCACTGGGAACCTGGCCTGCAACCTAGGCATGTGCCCTTACCAGGAATTGAACCAGCGACCCTTTGGTTTGCAGCCCACACTCAATCCACTGAGCTATACCAGCCAGGACCCTGTAATGGCTCTTGATTCATCATATTATAGTGATCTCTAAGCTCTTCTGAGCACATGTATTTCTAACAGCAACATTTGGGGTCCGTCCCCTGTTAGTATATACATTTATTTATAAATCAATATATATGTATCCAATTTTATATAGAATAGTTATATACATGTACTATAATATTAATACTATGAAAAAATATAAAAGAATGACATAGAATACACGCAAACCTTTTCTAACATTTTGAAGGACTGCCTTGTGCACCCTGTCAGATACCTACCATAACTCGGGGGACTGTGACTTTCTGGGGGTGAAACACAAATACAGTATTCACTGGGTCATATAATACAATCCTAATTCTTTCCATTTCTTATCTCTGCCTTATACGGCCATTCCTCCACTTCAGTAACTTAAAGCTATTAGCTACTTTTCCAACATTTTGTAATATTTCATACTCTACTCTCTGACTGAAATGTCCGCCTCTACTTGGAAACTCCCACTTCTTCTTCATGGCCTACCTCGAATGTTACCTCTTTTGGGAAACCTCCTGATCCGGTTCTCTTTTCTCACACACTCATACACTTGTGCTGTGATTACTGTCATTGCCTCCCTGTCTATCCTCCTCTAGTCTCCAAGCATGTCCAAGGGCAGTGTCTATCTTTTTAGATCCACCGAAGTTACTGAAATAAAGTAATTAACTTGTGACACAAAAGTAATGAGCAATTCCTTTACCTAACGTATTACCAAACCAGAACATGTCAGGACAGCATTGTTCTTCACAGATCCCCAAATAGAGAACTAAAATCTGAGCACATAACAGACTGACAAAAGTTAAGCTTGGTTTAACTGGGCAAATAGCTAACAAAAATAAGAGGATTTTTTTTTTTTTAAAAAAAAAGGACATCTTGATGCATTAGAGATTTTAATACCTAAGGCTTGTATATAATAATTTAGATGGTAGCTCCTATTTATTAGTTACTAAGTGCCATGCACAGTGTGAAGGATATTATAAAAAAACCACCTCACCCTGGAGGCCTTTGATGGAAGTCCTTTCAAAGTGCAAGTGCTTTAGTCTATCACAACTCTAATTCTCACCTGTGCTCTAGCTTCTAGAGGCATTTAAGCATTTGCAAACCAGCTGGCAAATTACTTTTTATTTGCAAAATTATTTTGAGGAAATCTTAAAATTACGAAGATGTTAGAACCTGAGAAGAGCTTAGAACACATTTAATTCAGGCCCCTTATTTTACAGTGGGGGAACTGCTGAGGCCCGCAGAAGTTAATCCACCGAAGGCCACAAATTTGTGAGTAACAGAGGAGAGACTGGAGCCCAAGTATCTTATCACGTTAGTGTATCTTCTCTGTTCTACCCAATACTAGAAAACAGAAGTCAACATTTCTCGTTGCCACTCACTAAAGCACTTTTCAAGTTAATTGCTGATTATTTAAAGAGAAGAAATCATACTTAAACTAAACCCACTTTCCTATGTATTTATCCGCATAAACCCACTTTCCTATGTATTTTTCCGCATACATAAATGTACTATTGTGTTTTTCAAGTTCCTAATATGTAAGTTTTTAAGTCTTAAGCAAAACACTTAACTGAGTAATTAATTCTTAGTTAGAATCATTAGTAAGTATCTTTTTTTATTTCAAAGAAACACTCAGTACCTGAATGTGCTCTTTTGTGATCAGCCAGGGTCGGTGTGCTAGCAGCTTATTTATTTCATTAAGATTTTTCAGTCTTTGTGGTACATATTCCAAACCATTCAACCACTCAGCAATACCTCCCGTCTTCAGAAATTCATCCACATGCATGTTTATTAAGTATGAACACTGATGTCTAGCTGCAGCCTAGAACACAAAGAGTTACTCAATAAAATGATCATAGTAGAGTCCATTTCTACTATTGCTAAACAAAAATATAGATGGAATTCATAATTTTTATAGCTAAGAATTCTTTTCTTACTGAATCCTCCTTCTCCTAAAACTCAGATCACGATGCCATAGATCCTTGAGTCAATATATGAACCTGACACTTGTATAAGCACATAAAGTATCGCATGAAGCCAGTTACTTCCTAGAAGTTGGTACCAATCAGCTTAGAAGCCACTTTCTTGTTTTGTTAAGAAAATATGTCATTTCATTATGGTAAACTGTATCAACTGTATTCTATTTATAAAAATAAAATCTCATTACCTGGAATTCTACCAATTCAAAATGCATCCTGATTGGGTAATTCTCTTACTCCCTTTGGTATAACTGTGACCTCAGTCCTATCTATACAGATCACTCTATGGAGAAGAAACTGAAAGTCACTGACTCCTTCCTATGCAGTCAAAATCAGCCTTGATACCGACAATTTGGTAAATCCAAACAAAGTAGACTTTAAAGTGCTCCATTCCTCAGGGCTCCTCAGTAAAATAGTATTGTTTTATTTTATTTTCTATATTTTGTTTCTTAGTGTATGAGCATTCTAGGTCTGCTTTCAGCCTGATTTGCAACAAAATCTTAAACTAAAATTATTTTCTTAGTCAAGTTCATAATTCGGTTTAACAGAATGCTGCCCTTTTTTGTGTTTGTTTAAAACTTCAGTGAGAGTAGAAACAAGATAGTCAAATGAAACCTGGTGAAACTAATCTACCGACTCCGACTCCCGGGCTAGCTGCTGGCTGTCAGCCCAGCTGGTCTGCACCTTGAAGTACACAGCCCTTGCTAGTGTTCTCATTCCTCCTTTTCTCCAGTAATAGTTTAACTGTAGCACTGTTCTTCCTTTCTACCCTTCTCACTCCTGCTACTTCTCATCCCAATTTATAACTCTCTCTCTCCTCCCCAAACATTCACTAGTTAACTAGTACCAAGTACTATACTTAGAAAGATTACAATTCATTTAAGAATGCTTCTCTTACCCCGAGTCTCCACTGGTGCTAATACTTTCCTCTTAGTTAACCAAAGTAGTAATTATTTTCATGTATAAAATACTAAATAAAATGTCTCATACTCTTATTTTAATAATAAAAGCAAGACATCAAAAGCAAAAACAAAACTTGTGGGATATTACTTTGGCCCCCTACAAGCATCTTTAATCACAAGAGATCAAATACGGAAAATAACATTAATAAAAATTAAATGAGAAATTTCCCACACATTAAATAGCTTAAAACATACAGGATGTACACTCAAGTAATCTGGTATCCAAAGTCACAGCATTCTTCAAGTTTTAGGTCCTTAGAATTACACCGAGCTCTACACACTCACAAACACAACACTACAAGGGAGAAGGACCAAGGAGCGCAGTCACCATGATTGCGATGTAGTGCCTGTGTGATAGAGGAAGGGGGCCGTCCATGCGCAGCATGTAGAACTGGCTCCGCAGGAACGACTCTAGGTACTGCGTATGCAGACTCATGACCTGGGTGATGTTGTCCAGGCGACCAGATGTTGAGTATTCTTCCACGAGAAAGTTAGTACGTTCGTCCACTGTGTTTGCTTGGATAACCTTACAACCGAGAAACCCAAAACAAGGTAATTATTGAGAAGTAAACATATCTTTGCTTTACATAAATTATGCCACTTTTGAGGCATAGGAGATGTTCTTTTGATATTAACAGACACTGAAATTACAAGTGCTTATATGGGAAACAGGAGTAAAGAAGAAAGCACCACTCATTTTTGGCTCTGGTACTATAAATTATTAAACAGCAAATGTCAAATTATCAAATATTATACACACAGCTATGAAACTGGAGGGGGAAGCTCCCATCTGCTTTGCCAGGAACATAAGGCAAATTTTTCAGGGCTCACTTGCACGGCCATTGTCAAATCAATTTGCAGTGAGGCAAAAGCATGGCATTCAATTACATACATTTATAATTTTATCTCAACAGCCAATGAAGATGTTTAATCATATTATCTTTAAACAAGTATTTTCAGTCTCATCCTTTGCTTTTGTTATTCAATATTAAAAAGAGGCCTTCTGAGGTTTTTTTAGGGACAAAGGAAAATACGATAGTTTGTAGGAAAGTCTTAATTTAAAAATCAATAACAACACTAGAGGACTGTCATTTCTATTTTGAGACTATTGTATTAATTACAAAAAAAGATAAAAGTTATTAATAGGGACACCCTCCATTCTAGGGAATCAATAGAGCTTACTCAAAAACAGGTTATTTACATATACTTTCATACACAATGACACCTTGGGCATCACACCAAGAATGGGCTCGAAGGGTGTAAAAAGCTTATTAACACCTTGTAGAAGGACCCAGCTCTGTGGGAATGAATAAATATGACATGCATATTTCTAGTACTGGTTCATTATTTATTGACATTCTAGAGTTTTAGACTTTAGAAGAATGTATTTCTCATATCACACCCAAAATTAAATGCAAGTTCATGCACCTAGTTAGCAGCACAGCCTGACTGAGAATCCAGATCTCCTAAGGGCCAGGCAAAAGGGTCTTTCCAAGGACCCACACTGTTAGTAAGAAACTTCTGTCAACTGGCTGGCTCCATAGGCTCTTCTTAAAATAAGTTACACAAAAGACATTACTGACTGAGAAAAATTTAATCCCAGAGAAAATACAATATTTGAAAAGTGTAAATTGCAGGGAAATGTTAATTACAATGGTATATAAAAATTTTTAAATGATAAAAAATTGTTTTTCAAGTAGTTTTCTGTCTTTTACTCCCATCCCAGCCCACCCATCCAACCCTCCCCACCTCCCTCCCATTTCCACCCCCCTAATTTTTGTCCATGTGTCTTTTATACTTGTTCCCGTAAACCCTTCCCTTTTTCCCCTTAAATTCCCTCCCCTCCCCACTCTGGGCACTGTCAACCTGTTCTCTATTTCAGTGTCTTTGGTTATATTTTGCTTGTTTGTTTGTTTTGTTGTTTAGGTTCCTGTTAAAGGTGAGATCATATGGTATTTGTCTTTCACCGCCTGGCTTATTTCACTCAGCACAATGTTTTCCAGTTCCATCCATGCTGTTGCAAAGGGTAGGAGCTCCTCTTTTCTTTCTGCTGCATAGAATTCCATTGTGTAAATGTATCAGAGTTTTTGGATCCATTCATTTACTGATGGGCACCTTGGTTGCTTCCAGCACTTAACTATTGTAAATTGTGCTGCTATAAACATTGGGGTGCACAGGTTCTTTTGGATGGGTGTTTTAGGGTTCTTAGGGTATAAAACTAGCACTGGAATTGCTGGGTCAAAAGGCAGCTCCATTTTTAGTTTTCTGAGAAAATTCCGTACTGTTTTCCATAGTGGTTGTACCAGTCTGCAATCCGACCAACGGTGAACTAAGGTCCCCTTTTCTCCACAACCTCTCCAACACTTGTTGTTTGTTGCTTTGTATATATGATGGCCATTCTCAATGGTGTGAGGTGGTATCTCATTGTGGTTTTAATTTGCATCTCTCTGATAGCTAGCGATATTGAGCATCTTTTCATGTGTCTCTGGATCCTCTGTATGTCCTCCATGGACAAGTATCTGTTCAAGTCTTCTGCCCATTTTTTAATTGGGTTGCTTGTCTTCTTAGAGTGGAGTCATGTAAATTCTTTATATATTTTGGAGATTAAACCCTTGTCTGAGATATCATTGGCAAATATGTTTTCCCATACAGCTGATTCTCTTTTTATTTTAATCCTGTTTTCTTTAGCCATGCAGAAGCTTTTTATTTTGATGAGATCCCATTTGTTTATTCTTTCCTTTATGTCCCTTGCTCTAGGGGACATATTAGTAAAAATGTTGCTGTGTAAAATATCTGAGATTTTCCTGCCTATGTCCTCCTCTAGGACCTTAATGGTGTTACGGCTTATATTTAAGTCTTCTATCCACCTTGAATTTATTTTTGTGTATGGTGTGAGTTGGTGCTCAAGTTTCATTTTTTTGAATGCAGCTGTCCAGTCCTCCCAACACCATTTGTTGAAGAGGCTCTTACTCCATTATATGTTGCTGCTCCCTTTGTCAAATATTAATTGACCATAGAGACTTGGGTTTATTTCTGGGCTCTCTGTTCTGTTCCACTGGTCCATGTGCCTGTTTTTTTTAATTTTTTATTGATTATGCTGTTACAGTTGTTCTATTCCCCCTTTATTCCCCTCCACCCTACCCCTCATCCCCACCATTACCCCCCCCTTTAGTTTATGACCATGTGTCTCAAGTCCTTTAGATTCTATATTTCCCATGCTATTCTTGCCCCCCCATCTATTTTCTATCTACTGTCTATGCTACTTATTTTCTGTACCTTCTCCCCACTTCTCCTCCTCCCACTCCCCTGTTGCTAACCCTCCTTGAGATCTTCATTTCTATGTTTCCACTTCTAATCTAGCTGTCCTTTTAGTTTGCTTTCGTTTTAGGTGTGGTTGTTAATAACTGTGAGCTTGTTGTCCTTTCACTGTTCATGTTTCTTTAACTTCTTTTTCTTAGATAAGTCCCTTTAACATTTCATATAATAAGGGCTTGGTGATGATTAACTCCTTAAATTTGATCTTATCTGAGAAGCACTTTATCTGTCCTTCCATTTTAAATGAAAGTTTTGCTGGATAGAGCAATCTTGGTTGTAGGTCTTTAGATTTCATGACTTGGAATACCTCTTTCCAGCCCCTTCTTGCCTGTAAGGTCTCCTTTGAGAAATCCGCTGACAGTCTGATGGGGACTCCTTTGTAGGTGACTGTCCCCTTAGCTCTTGCTGCTTCTAGGATTCTCTCCTTCATTTTAATCTTGGCTAATGTAATTACGATGTGCCTTGGTGTGTTCCTTCTTGGGTCCAACTTCTTTGGTACTCTCTGAGCTTCCTGGATTTCCTGGAAGTCTATTGCCTTTGCCAGATTGGGGAAATTCTCCTTTATTATTTGTTCAAATAAGTTTTCCACTGGTGGCTGTGCCTTTCCCCCTTCTGGTACCCCTATAATTCGGATGTTGGAGCGTTTAAAGATGTCCTGGAGGTTCCTAAGACTCTCCTCATTTCTTTGAATTCTTGCTTCTTGACTCTTTTCTGTTTGGCCATTATTTGCTTTCTTCTGGTCCACTCCATTGATTTGAGTCCCAGTTTCCTTTTCATTGCTATTGGTTTCCTGTGCAATTCCATTCATTTCAATTAGTTTCGCCTTCATATATTTGTCTAATTTGTCGGTATAATCAACCAGTTCTGTGAGGATCCTGATCACCAATGTTTTAAACTGTGCATCTGTGAGTTTTGCTATTTCTTCATCGCTTAGATCTATTGGCTCTGGGGCTCTGAGATCCTCCTGTGCCATTCTTGGTCTGTTCGGGCCCTTTAAGTGTGAGAAGCGGCGCCTTGGATTCCCAGGTCGCTGGGTTGTGACGCTGTATGTGGGGGCGTGGCCAGAGCGGGGGAATGGCGACCCCCTCTGCCGCTTCTCACAGCTGGGTGCGGAGGAGCAGTGCCTTAGGTGGTTCACCTGGGCCGGGCCACTCAGAGTCGCTGGGTTATGACGCTGTATGTGGAGGTAGGGTCAGAGCAGGGAAATGGCGGCGCCCTCCACTGCCACTTGCCGTGGGGACCTGCCGGCCCGGTCCAACCGCCCACTCCCTCGCCTGTCCACCCGCGTACAAATGCACGACCTCAGTCAACACGCAGCCCTGGGCCGGCTGTCTCCCCCGCGGTCGCTCGCTGGGTCGCTCACTAGGTCTGACCCTGCGCCTGCCCGGGCCTGAGTGTGTCTGGCCGAGTCTTCCTGTGCAACCCTGCTCCGCCAGCCGCTGGTTTCGCCCCTTACCGGTCAGGCTGAAGAATTTGTTGTTAACGGACTTCCGAAAAGTTCAATTTTCCGTGTTCTGGCTGTGTTTTCTGTTGCTAATATTTAGTTTTCTCTAATCTTGGTTGTGTGAGAAGGCACGGCACATCCACCTATGCCTCCATCTTGGCGGAAGTCCATGTGCCTGTTTTTATACCAGTATCAGGCTGTTTTGATTACAGTGCCTTGTAATACAGTTTGGGATCAGGTATTGTGATCCCTCCTATTTTGTTCTTTCTCAAAATTGCAGCCGCTATTCAAGGTTGTTTATGGTTCCATATGAATTTTTGAAGTGTTTGGTCTATGTCTGTGAAATATGCTATTGGTACTTTAATAGGTGTTGAATTGAACCTGTAAATTTCTTGGGTAGTATAGACATTTTGATGTTAATTCTTCCGATCCATGAACACAGTATATGTTTCCATTTGTTTGTGTCTTCCTTGATTTCTTTCTCCAGCATTGTATAGTTTTCTGTGTACAGGTCTTTTACCTCCTCGGTTAGATTTATTCCTAGGTACTTTATTTTTCTTTTTGCTGTATCGAATGGGATTTTTTCCCCTTGATTTCTGCTTCTGCTGTTTCATTGTTGGTATACAAAAATGCCTTTAATTTCTGGATATTGACTTTGTATCCTGCTGTTTTGCCAAGCAGTTTTTGGGTGTAGTTTATAGGGTTTTCTATGTACACTGTCATGTCATCTGCAAACAATGATAGTTTTGTTTCCTCCTTTCCGATTT